TTACAAACATCATGTATAAACACACAGAACCAAAGAGTAAGTTGCAGTAAGGATCACATTAAAAAGAAGAGCTAAGTAAACAGTACCAGACACAAGCTTGCATAATTTTGAAATCTAGATCCAGGCATCTCCATATACACTCAGATATCTATGAGGAATTACGTAGAAGTGTGTCATAAATAGAGTCAGAAAGTGGTAAACTGATGTATAAGTGCCGTTTCACATTTTGAGGCCCTGATCCTGCAAATGGGTCTGCAAACACCACCCCTTAAGGTGACTCCATGCATGGAATACAGATCTACGTGAATGTATCGCTTGGCAGGATCGGGGAATATGGCACCGTATTTAAGGGTCTCGCTGTTCAAAATGTGAAGTCCTCAGTTAAACACAGTTAAGAACATTCTTTCATACTGAAGATGAGGAACTTCTGCAGCACTGCATCTGCAAAGAGTCATGACCCTTTTCCCAATGAAATTTCAATTAACTTGAAGAAAGGAAAAGATCTGAAACTTAGGATCTAAATCCTACAAAAAGATACAATTTAGAATGAACTCTGGAAAGGCTCACCAAGGAGTTCCTTAGCTTGTTTGACCCTTTTTTAAGGGCAGGTTAATGTCCTACTTGGTCTTCAATTCTTGCAGGGCCATAATGTTATATTAACCTAGGGTTTGGACTCCCCCTGCCCAAACATTCTAATCTGTTTAAGAGAACATTGGCACCTGCACTCTGAAAGTTAAAAGAGTGCAATAATGCCTACTTGGTGTCTGGCAGCACAGCAAGTACTTTGAGGTACAGTGTACTGAGCAGATTGGAAAGGATTTATGATGATTAAGTCAAGGAGATGGAGAAGTAAGAGGTACCTGGGGGGCACCTAAAGATGACAAAGAGGTGGCACCACGCGGAGGTGGAAAAGAATTCTGCAGAATGCATCAAGCTCAGAAAATTGACTTTTTCCTATACTCTGGTATTCATCAGCTCCATGAATTTTTTTTTTCTGAGCAAACACAGAACCCTGCTTAAAAATTAGTTGAACTAATTTCTCAAAGAAAAATATACGTGTGAGCACACAGGTACCACAGGATGATGAAGAATCCCAAACCCAGATCTTAACACTCTGCTGGCACCTACTTCAACTTTTCTCCAAGATAATTTTATAGCTTCTGATGTACAAATATGTAAGTCACATACCAAAAAATAAAATGTGCTCCCTTTAAAATCGGCTTAATTATTATGCCATTTTTCAAACCCCCCCCCCAAAGCAGCTGACCAACTATGAGCCAAGTGATGCTTGAGGTCCCTATGCAAGGTCGCTCCATCACTTGTGCTAACCGCCACACCCTCTTTTTAGGAGACATATCACCGGATTTGCATTGTCCAGGCAGCACAGACAGGTGCTTAATTTTTACCAGCTGTCATCATACAGAACCTCACCCAGTAGAATTCATGGAAATCAAGTCCATAGAATCATAGATTTTAAAGGCCAAAAGGAGCCATTAGATTATCGAGTCTGACTGTGTAACACAGGACACGGAATGTCACCCAATTACTCCTGTAGAGAGCCTAATACCCTGGGTTTGGCTAAAGCATCTCTTCCAGAGAGGCATTCAGACTTGAGCTAAAGACTTCAAGAGATGGAGGATTCATCATTTCCCTCAGTAGTTTGTTCTAGTAATTCAAGACCCGCACTATTAAAAGCAACAGCTTTATTTCCTAATTTTAATCTGTCCAGCTTTACCTTCCAGCAATTGGTTCTTATTATGTCTTTCACCACTAAAATGAAAAATCCTTTAATCCCAAGCACTTTCTCCACAGGAAGATACTTCTCCACCGTAAATTAAGTCACCCCTTGATCGTTTTCATCACCTAAAGTCATCTGCTTTGGAAGGATGAAGGGGTGAGTGAGCTCTGCTGGGTATTTCAGACATGATGTTTGGAAAAAGCACACTTTAAATTAGATGTTAGTTTAAGCACTCAGTTGACACCTGTCCCTTACTTTTCATTGATAAACATGTGCTTAAGACATGTTCAGAATATACATTTGGATCCGAAACAAATAAAGCTTTCCGAGTACTCACCAGCTATCTAACACTAAATCACACAGATCTCTCGGGAAGAGTATTTCAGAATGGAAAATTCATCATAAAGACCGCTGCAATAAAGATTACTTTGGAGAGAGCAAGACTTATGCCCGAAAACAGCTTCTCCACATGAGCTGGGAGATACACTGTTGCTTCCACTGGAAAGTGATAGCCTGATAAGAGATGGTCAGAGATTTTCTGAAGAAACTGTTTATTCAGAAAACACCAGGTCACTGAACCAGAAATTTCTCATGAAAGCAAGACTGGTTTGACAAACTAGAGGTGAACTCTGCCCACTAGGGTTCTGATGAAATCCTGCAGTGCCACACAGTCTGCCCTGGAGCCAGGGACCCCAGGCTCCTAGGGTTTTCAGCTCCAGGACAGTCCCGCCATGCCAGGATTTCCAGGATCTCTGCTGTGGAGTCAGGACTCTCAGCACCACGGCAGGGAGCCCTGACTGAGACACTGCTCCTGGCTCTGCAACAGGGAGCCTGGAATTCCTGTGGTCTCTCAAGGTTTCCAACCCCCTGCTGCAGAGCTGGGATCCTGAAAGTCCTGGGATGATCTCCCCGGGGCTCTGACTCCAGACAGCCCTACCACGGCTCCCCAGGGCTCCCAGGCTACCTGGCTTCCCAAGATGCCAGGCAGGGACTGACTCTCATACTTACAGTACCAACCACAACAGAGCCCTGCTCTTGTCTGGGCCCTCCATGTACTACTGTGATACAAGCAACCAACCACAGGTAGGATGAGGGAGAACGAGAATACAGGAACAACTCTTGCCAAACAAAGTTGTAGCAAGCACATGAAGACATTTTATGTCAGTTTTTAGAAGCCTTTTGGTTTTTGGCAGCACAGGGGATGAAAACCCACTATAAACTCTTAATAACAATGACCTTATATCAACTACAATATCATCTTGTCTGTGTCTTGGAGAAATTATGTAAGACACGACAGCTGAATGCAACGTGCAAAACTGAGGATTTGTGTTCCGTTTCCTGATACATAGCACTGCTTTCCTCAACACAATGCATCATTGCTTCCTTATCCCAACATCCATATTGTAGTGTGAACCGTATACCTTGAGATCATCAGAGGCAGCATCAGCTTTCCCCACACTTAATTTATCAGAGTCCTACGAAACAGTGCTTAATCTCCAACTTGGACACAAAAGCATGCACACCGAGGAGAAATTAAGAAGGAGAACCTTCCAGGTTAAGTCACTTCAGGTGTTTCTAGACACCCCCTATAACCACAGCCATGTGTAAAATTACAAAATCATCTAAAATATACAAGATTCCTAGGGGATTTTGACATTTGCATATTTTTGCCCTGGCATTATGCAAATCATACCCCATTGCTGATAAAGGATATTGTCAACCTTGGCTGCTATTAAGAGGGTGCTGTGTTGTCAGTGTTATAAGAACACCCAAATCTGTCTTTGAAGGGAAAAAAAATGCAGCTATCAGCTTGGCTTTTTTTCCCCTTTCCTCTTCACCTTGACCAAAAGTATTTTTAGCTCTATGGATATAACTGCCAATATGTTCCTCACAAAAAATGAAGGTGGAAAGATTGTGACAACAGACAGGAATTCAGCAGTGACTGTACCTTATATAACCAAGGTCAAGAGAGATATTCTGCCAAAGGCAGATTTCCTAGTACATCAAAATGTCCCCCTTTTTTGTTTGGTTGGTTTTGTTTCATTTTGGTTTAATCGAGTTTGGGCGTCCCCAAGCCAAATCCTGATCCCATTAAAGTTAACGGAAATTTTGCCCCCGACTTTGCTGAAGCCAGATTTAGCCCTGAGTTTAACAAGATGATCCTGTACACAGCCACTCTACACAAGTACCTTTACCCATGTGAGTACTGCCAGCAAATGAAACGGGTGTATCCGAGTGAGAAAGCTAATTGCGTGCATTTGCAGGACCAAACCTTCAGACAGTTCCATTGAAGTTAATGGGTCTATTCATATAAGTAAATCTGGCAGAAACAGGCCTAATATTTGTAGTCTCAGAACACAGCAAAGCTTATTATATACACTAAATAGCATCTCCCATCTGCTCAGTACCAGAGGCAGCATGTAAAGTTGTGCCAGAAATATAAATAAAAGCTTTTTTTCTGAGTGCTGCAATAGTAAAGACAAGAGAAAATATATACACAAAACACCTAGCTTGTTAATTCACACAGTGCCCAAGTCAGATAAGTAGGGCTCTGTCAGAGAGAAGGAAAAATATAAAGATTGTGGCCTAAACTCACAGCTGGGATAAGCAGGTCGTAAGCCTGCTGTGAATTTGGCCCAGTGTTCAACTGCCTTATGCAGTACAGCAAGAAAGTTACAACCTGGAAATATCAGGAAGAGGCAGCATCCTTACATTGCCCAAGTATATACAGCCACTATCTTCGGCCCCAATCCTGCAAACAAACTTTTACACATATGCTTATTTTTAGACATCAGTAGTCCCATTGCAGTCAATGTGTAAGTGTTCACAAGACAGGGGCTTTACTGAGCTCCTGGTGAAAGCTTTGGAAACAAATGTTAGCTATCACATGTGCTTTCATGAACTCTTCTGGGCTTCCTACCTTTCTCCAACTGCCTCGTTTTGGCTGCAAGCAGTTTTGGCAGGGACTACCTCCATTTTGGACAGCAAAATAAATACACGATTCTCTTCCTGACACACATTCTACCTCTCCTCTCCTGAAATTTATTCCCACACAAAAAAACCCAGAGTCCTTTGTTAGCTTTGAGTTTGGATTGCTATACTCCTTATCCTAACACCACAAACTGTACAAAGCACAGAAATAAAGCTCTTAAGGCATTCAGCACCCCATTTCCTTCAAGCCCCACAAAACCACGCCCCCCTCCTGAGCGGAAAATGGGAAGAAAGGGAAAAAAGTTAACAAAAACTGTTCTTAATTTGGTACCTTTTCAGCCAAGGCCTTTAAACTGTCTAGAAACCTTTGCCAGAAATCCTTGAAGAGGGGACGGTCAATTTTCTTCAGGCTTTCTTTGGTGCTAGCATCCACGCTGACATACAGCTGTGTTACTGGCTCAAGGTTCCTTGGCAATAAAAAGGAGAGGGGAATCATTATTTTCAGACATTACAGCTAACTGAATTTATGCTTTTTTACAGAAGCATCCATAAGACATAACATGGCAGAGCAAATAACTATGCTTGACTCTGCTCTGTTCCCAGAAGCAAAAGCAGTAATGTAATATTTACAGCATACTCTCTCGAAGTTCAGCAGTGAATCTTTACCAAATGGCTGGGGTTTCTAATAGCAACAGAAAATAGTCTTTCACCACATAATGTGCCACAAAGCAAGAAATACCACATACTAACCATTCGCGGAAGGGTCAAGCCCAGTGATAGTTCAACAATCCAATCCTCACTGAACAGCATCTTTCATCCAGGTAGAACACTAATTAAGAAAAGCCTTCCCAAGTGGCCTGTGATCAAAAGAGCCTGGAGTCTCACCTGAAGCATTTAAAAGCTTCACTTCCTATTGGAACATCTGCAGGCAAAGTGCCCTAAAATTCCACCTGTCCTACAGGAAGGCAGCCCTATTCAACAGAAATGCAGTGCTGCTCAGTGGAGTTCACCCGGCAGGGTGGGACATCTCTGAGCTAGGCAAGTGGAACTTTAAGGCTCCAAAACCGTAAGCCACATGCAAATGGGCTTTTTGCAACAAAAGAAGTATAAAAGTGGCTTTACAAATGTGCTCCTGGTACTTTGTAGAGGACCTTATTTCATGGGACCCGCTCAAAATTTTGCACTGAATCCTTTTCAGCTAGCACTACTGTAAACATGCTTGGGGCCAGAGACCTACTGTCATATGAGACATTGATTCCAAAGCATATCCTTAGTTATGATTTCCTCCCCACATTTTAATAGCCCAGGCTCCCAAGTTCCCACATTTTGAGGAGTGTTCCTCTGGTGCAAAAAGCGTGGGATATAGCTCCCACAAGGACATCAATGCCTTTGTGAAGTTGACTAAAGAGGTCATTACAGTAATCCCAGCCCGCATCAGTCAAAGTGCAAAGAGCTGCAGCTTGGATTTCTGCAGGAAAGCGTATTATGCTCTAGCTCTTTTATAATTTAAGACATTACTCTTTTTACAAGTGTAATTTCCTAGTGAATGCCCCCTATGCTGATCCACAGAGGACAGGAGTTGTCACAGCCCCCAGTTAAAACACACATTCACCAGTGGGTTAACACAAGCACTGCGTAAGTGACTTCTAAAAGCTTAAACCTATTCTGCTGTCCAAGAGCCTGTGACCGATTTCATCCATGCTGGAACCCCAAGGCTAGCAAGTGTGATGCAGACACAGATAACTGGAGATGCAAAGAGCAGAATAAATAACACTGTATTCTGCTATGCAAGGAATAATGAACAAAGAGTAACAAACTGAGAGAATCAGACTTAGCAAGCTCCTTAAAATCAAGAGAAATAGACAAAGGCAATTAATTTTTATACCCTTTTGTCTCTTCTGGGGGGCTGGTGATATTTGTCAAACACCAGGCAAAAACACTCTACCACAATGCCTTCTAGATAAAGTGACAGCTTCAAAATTTTATCACACAGCTCTGTGGGTCTACTAGCCAATATCTTAGGAAATTAAGGAAGAGCCTTCCACAAATGCTGCCTGTGAAAGCTGCTAACGAGCAGGCTACAACTCCAGTCTGATCTAGTGCTTTTAAAAAAGAATCCTTCATACAGCTGTCAATCACTCCTTCTTTAAAAAAACATGAAGGTGAAAACTAAAAGTGACAAGAATTGTCTGGAATGAGACCAGAGCTGAGCTGTAAATGGTTAGAAAATCCAATTACTCAACATGAACTTGCAAAGTACCCAAGCATATACCTCCTCTCCAGATTCAGACAAGAACAGATCATTAATGGGAAACAAATCTAACAGTTTAGATTAAGAACCGGTTTACTAGTGAGCATGCTCTGAACTGACAGTCCAAGCAGCAATTGCCCAAATGGCCAAGTGTTCCAGGTATTAAGGGATTGGAATATTCAATTACAAAGAGCGTAGCCAGTCTTTTGCATGTTACATTTGCCTAATAAAATAATATAATAATAATGATAAAAAGGTATCACTGAAAACAGAGCTAGTCACTTTCAGAATGGTAACTGGAAAAGTTCCTCTTCTCCAAGGAACCAAAGCATGCCCCATCCCCAGCAGCTGCAGGCAGCCAGCAGAATTAGTACAGTTATACCACAGAAAGATTGGGACTCGATCATGAGCAGAGGTTTTACATACCCTCTTGCTCTATGCTGTTCCGCTTTGCAGTGACCGACTGAGCCCCAGCACCCACAAGGGGGCATAGCTGGGTCTGAAAGTACATGAATACACTTGTCATTCTACCCCACAAGCTGTGAGAGCTGCTGTGATATTCCACGGAGCTCTGACATGGATTTAGTAGTGAACAAACAAGGGACACAACCTAATGTAGTGGATATAATTACCAGCTAAACCTGAAAATGCTTTTGTACACAGCCAGTGTCAGATCCCTAAGAGACTTACAATACCGACAAAACATCATGTCAATAAACTGTACAGTCTAAGTTCAGCAGCAGGAATAAGACCACTCTTATCTCAGCAAGGTTTGTGTGTTCTTAAAGCAAGTCTTATTAACTGCTGTACCATATACCAGGCTCGGATTTTGCTAGTTGGGATCAATGGACATGCTGATGAGAGAGCAAAACTAGAATTTTATCATTTAAAAAAACAAAAACAAAAAAACAAAAAAACCCCATCATTTTCCAAGAAATATATTTTCAAAAATAGTGTTGGCTCTCTTTTTAAATTCTATGTTTAGTTTCTATCTATCAGGCTCATAATACATGGTTTGAAAAGTAACTTGATTACACAATTACCCAATCATTTGGAATGGCTTTGGAGTACCTAATTACTCACTCTAAAAAATGTGTGCCTCCAGCCCTCACATTCAGACCAAAAAAGGGAGCCAGAGAGGAAGCCAAAATATCAGAGATTACTGATGTGTAAATTATTATTTTGCAACAAATGGAATGTCCTATTCACCTGGAATTAGAAATTGTGGGAAATATAACACACCAAAGCCATCGCGGCTGTACCCTCCAGTGACACTGCTAGCGTTCCACCAGAGAGGAATTTGGGCCTATGCTGTTAACTAATGCCTTTCGAAGTGCTCTTCCTCCCTCTCCCCACCCCAAGTTGTGGGAGCTGAAGACAGGGTCTGAACATTAGCAGCAAGTTTTTCACTGCTGTTCTGATTTTTGGTTAAACAGGTGTCAAGCACTCTCAAAAGAGACAAATAATACTTTTAATTCACCCAGGACCTTTAATCGAAGTATCTGAAAATGCTTTACAAATATTAAATTTCACAACTCCCTCTGCGTGGTTAGATAAAAATGACTAATTACCTTTTGCAGGTGGGAATACTGAGAGAAGAAGTGAGTGAACTGCCCAAGGTCACAAGGAAGCGAGCAAGTGAACTGGGAATAGAACTCATGAGCTTTAATTTGCGGTCTGTTTATGAGAAACACTCCCTTCCTTTACTCAATTGCAACACCAAAAGCAAAACACAATTTGCATTTCATTTGTTTTATTCTTATAGACTTTAGGTATCTCCAGAACCTTCCGGAATGGACGTTTGGTTATACTGCCTGTATTCAAAGTAATTGCACTGAATTTAAGAGGCACAGAAAAAAAAAAAATAAAGTAAATGTACATTGGTGTGGAGAAGAGAAGGAAGAGGGCGGGAAACGAGCCCAGAGAGACTAAAACTATGACCCAGGCAGATTCTGAGCAATAATTTTCATGGCTATTTGTCATGCAGACTGTGGCATTGTGTATTTCCACTATGATAAAATATAAGCACACCATACAACACCAACTCTTTAGAACAAGACAAAATCCATTAAAAAAAAAAAACACTTCATAGGATTCTCACCTAATCTCCACAGGGAACTGTGCGTTTGTAACCAGGAAGCTGGAGATGTTGTGCTGGTGCAGCAGTTTTAAGAACGTGTTGATTTCTGGGTACATAATCGGCTCTCCCACCAGAGACAGCGCACAGTGTTTCACCACCATCCCTTCTTCGAAGCGATCTACTCTCACCCCTGGCACACCTGGAAAAAAGGGAGAGGTGGGGAGAAGAGTGCGGTGGGAAAAGAATTTACGAAATAATTCATAAAAAGAAAAGGAGTACTTGTGGCACCAAGTACTGCTTTTCTTTTTGCAGATACAGACTAACACAGCGGCTACTCTGAAAAGAATTCATGCAAAACCTACACAAACAGCACATCTTGGATATTCGTTGGAAACTGGGGAGAGAGTAAAGTGAATGATGAAAATCTGCTGTCCATCACAGGGAAAGAGAAGATTGGTTAATCCTTAAAAAAAAAAAAAAAAAAAAAAACCAACATTTTACCCTCCAGTAACTGAACACCAATTTGTAAGCAACCCTTCTGAACCATCATGTACTTGAGCCAATCCACCTGTGCGGCTACTCATTTTAAGATTTTCATTGTGTCAAGATCAAGAAAATGGGACTGATGACTGAAGCTACTGAGCCAGATCCGCAGGTGGTGTAAATTAACATGGCATCATTGAAGTCAATGCCCTAACATTGCTTTGCACCAACAGAGGACGCCGGTCACTATGTATACAATGAACCTGTATAAACAACAAAAGCAATATTTTAGTACACTGTATAGAATAGTCTCTCGCCCACACATAAGTCCTCAATAAAGCACACGTGAAGGAATAGGAACAAGGGAACAAAACCAAGAACCATAAGCCTTTCTTTAAGAAGAAATGAACAAGTTATGTTCCTCCTCCCTCAGAGCTGAAAGTAGTTTGTGCATTTCACACGAAAACAAAGGCCCACATTTCATTTAACACAGCAACAATATTCCATTGCAAATCAGTATTCGTCAGCAATACCATCTGCTTTAAGACATTTCCTGAGACAAAAGACCTGTTAACACACAAACATTGCCTCATCCCTGGGTTGCAAGGACCACTTCCAAGTGAGAAGGTAGCAACAATAAGGCTACCAGCTATAGCTATCCCATGGAACAGTCACCAGATATAAGTGCTTTTAGCTCCTAATAACATGAGCCAGATTCATACTAGCAATCTGGGAACGAAGAGTGCTCTATCCCATCCATTACCAGCTCCCTGAGCTTCTGCGTCTGCACGTGAACTCATTTCACTAGGAATAAGAAGCAAGCCAATTCAAATTTCTATTCTGAAGATGTCACTTTATATTGGCCTGAGGTGCCTTGATGCATTTGAATAATATACTAAGAATTTTAAAAAAGAGTTATGGCTGGAAACCACAGTCCTCACCTCACCTCATGTTGCCTAGACGCTGCAGCTCAAATGGTACAGAAAATTACCCACTAGACTGCAACGTCAAGATAAAGAAAGGCGTTTGAGGATACAGCCTCAACCTTAAACAGAGAAGTTGGTCTGTGACCAGAACCAGGAAGTTTAGTGCATTTAAAATGAGTTAGATTTAGTCCTGAGCCCATGATAGCTCTAATAATGTCTACTCACAGGGACCCTCCAGGACTCAAAATGGGAATTTTACCCCACTGGAAAGGAGAATCGCAGATTTACAATGGGACAAACAGCACTTTCTTCTGGTTCTGGAAGGAGCAAAAGATATCAGACATTAAAGTCATGACATTTCCATGTCTCAAAGTTATTCTGGGATGCATTTAGCTTAATTTCCCTTCCCTTATTAACCCTACGCTATTGGATAATGGTGACCAAGGCACCAGGCTTACAGGCAGAGGGAAATAAAAAATAATCCCAACAGCACATTTTTAAATTCTCTAAAAATTTTCCTACAACAGTTATTGTCCAATATGGCATGCACTACATACAAAATGGTGGGGTATTGAGGTTTTATAAGCAATCATTTTGACCAGCATAAATGATATGCTAGTTCAGGGTTATTCCCAGTGAGTACATGGGCATGTTAAGAACTCCCATACACTTAATAACTAAACATAATGACCACATTCAACTTCCCATTTCCTGTGGATGAGCTCGCTTTCAGATCTACGGTTCTCACTCTTCCACCACCTCAGCTCTTTGTGACTTTAATATCACATTCCCATTGAGCTGCAATGCTTAGGCATAATGAACATTAGGGACCAAACTTCCCTGTTCACACTGTACCAGCATTATAGTACTGTATTAAGGATCTTGTTTAAACACATCAGAAACACCCAGATAAGCGACCTTCCCCTCCCCACCTCTTACAGCACCTAGATTTTCAGGGCACACTTCGTTACAAATCCAGGACTGCAATACCAAAGGTACCTGCTTTTCTGGAGTGGGAGAGGGTGGGAGGATTGATTGATTTAATTATTATTACTATGCAGTGTCCACCTTTGTGAAGGGCAATGGGGTTTACTAGTCACTACCTGAAAAAAGTATCCACCAAATAAATTATCCTGCCCCTGTCCCCTTCAGCAGCCAATCAATCAATAAGATCTCTCTCTCTCTCTGTCTCCCTCTCTAATTTACACAATGGAGAATTCTGTGGCTGGAAGCTATGTCAGGGTGGGGGTGGAGCAAGGAGAACCCATTCTAGCCACAGTGCCACCCTGCACCCACAATCCCCTCACTTCATTCCAGCAACAAAGACCAGCTCTTCTATCCCACTCCAGCCCCACAGCCCAGGCCCCACCATCCCTGGCCCTCTCCATTAGAATCAGGCCATGAATATCTAGTTCATCAAGATCCTAAGAAACTGTCTCGTCCAAAACATAACAGGATTTAAATCAGCAACTTAACGAAAAAGGAAGGCAGGACCGACTTTGCCTAACTCAAGCTGGGTTTACATAAGAGAGAACACCAATGAACTAGACAGGATCACTCCATACTGCTGAAAAAAGTTTCTGCCTGTCACGTTTCTCATCCATTGGGCGCATTCCATGCTCAGCCATGATAGACAGATGGGTTACCCAATGACATCCAAGACAAAGGCTCGACTTGCACATTTTATGGATGCTTCATTTGACTCCTGACGCAGTCACAATCTAAACAGTCAATAAGAAAGAGCTTATTTCTTGTCAGAGTTTTCTTGTCAAATCGGTTGGCTTTTCTTGTGCACAAGTGTTGACCATGGCAAGGTAACTAATTTTCTGTATCTGAAAAAGGATGTGAGCTAATGAGTAGCCCATACGGGAAACAAAGCCAAGAAGATTCCAGGTTACACATTCAGGTGGGCTGATTTCCAGAGGTGCTGAGCACCTGCAGCTCCTATTGACTCCAGCTGGAGTTCTGGGTGCCAAGTACTTCAGGGGGAATCAGACCCTCAAGTGCAGAAACCAGGTACATAAACATGAGAGAAAACAGAAAAGGAGTACTTGTGGTTAGTCTCTAAGGTGCCACAAGTACTCCTTTTCTTTTTGCAAATACAGACTAACACGGCTGCTACTGTGAAACGTGAGAGAAAATGCAGCCAATACCCTGCGGATCTCATTCCAATGAGGCTCTATCTATGGCACTCCTTCTGCTCAGGTTAATGGACAGCTCCTTTCCATTCTTACCTCTCCTTACCTTTTATACAGCAAGGTCAAGATTTGTAGTCACCCAGTCTGTCCCCACCCATTGTGGGGCCTCTGTCCACAAACCATATATCTTACCCCTGCTATCATATATGAGATAGCTCTTTCATGGCAGAAACTAGCAGCCCAGAGGCTGATCCTGAGTTCTAATGATGTAAACATGACAAATCACCTGGGGAAAAACGACAATAAATAATGTGCCATAAAAATTTCACAGTTACGTACGCTTGAGGGCCCTTATTAGTCTCATCTTTTTTTTTCTAGTGTTCTAGAAACTTTTTGCTCCACACATTATTAGTTAGTGTCTGTTCTGATTCCCGCTTAACAGCTTCATTAAAAAAAATACATTTAAATTACCTTTAAATTGCTTGATCAAGCTCTGGTGGTTTTCAATAGCCTCTCGCAAGATCATTTCAGGTTGGTCCATTTTCCACCGCCATTCTGTGCCCACTGGATTTGTATGATGCCTGAAGAGAGAAATATTGATTTTTTTATTGTGATTTGTAACCCACAAGAATGAGCCCACCTGCCAATCTTTGCACCTCTGACATTATTAAAAAAACAAAACAAAAGCCAGCTACAAATCCCCAATACAACTCCAACCCTCGCACAACCCAATAAATATATGGGACTTTTCTAACAAAGCAGCCAGCTCCATCAGCCCTCATTTCATGGCCGATGGGTGAACACGGTGTTGGGGGAGGCTAGTCCCTGGCTGCTCCTGCTCTGCCTGAGGTCCCCTGCCCCCCGGCTGGAGCCCAGAGCACACCCCCCTGCGACCACCGGCCCTGCAGCGTGCTGTGCGGGCAGCACATCCGGAAAGCCCCCAGCCCCAGCGCTGGGCAACGGGAGTGTCCCCAAACCCAGCACACCGGGTGGGCGTGGCTGGAGTGCCCTCAGCCCTAGCCCCAAGACTTGTGCACACCAGCACCAGCCTGCCTGCCCCCGCCTCTTGGCCACAGAAGAGCGGAAAGGTAACTGGAAGCAGGCAAGAGGTGGCCTGGGGGCAGAGCGTGAATGGGGCCACACCAGGCTGTTTGCAGAGGCACAGCATTCCCCTGCCTATGCTACCCACTGCCCATGCCTCAATTTCTCCTCTCCCCAGGCAGAAAGGTGGGCCTTGCAGTACATTTTGAAGGCCATAAGTCTAACTATTCTGGACGATGGGCAAAAGTTTCTTCAGCAGCCAAGGGAACACTCTGCCTCCAACCATGCCTCTATTAAAATCAAGGGGATCCAGCTCTAGAATCTTCAATGGAGCGCAGCTGCGGCAGTATGACACACTCAAGGAGGCAGGTCCCAGGCCATTTAGCCGAATATTGAAGGTACAGATGCTATCCTCAACTGAAAATGAAGTGATGTGTTTCTAACACAATAGCCTTACCCTTTCTGTGAGTTCCAGTGTAAAATGGACAAGAGCAGACTTTGTTATTCAATATAAAAAAAAAGGACGGTGCAACTTGCAATAGATCAGAGATGCATTTATGATGGATCCAGTTAATTTCCTAGGTTTATTGAGGTGAGGCCTTCTCTGGTTACTTATAAGATTTTTTTTTTTTAAAAGTATTGAAACCTAACAAAGTACTAGTTCTCCGCACTGAAGTAAGCGGCAAACAAAACAATCAGTCAAACATTTGAGACACAGCTGGAGTAAGACCACAATGCAGCAGCTTGCTCAGAGTCAGGAAAGCCCAACCACCCAAAGAAAGCATTTATATCAATATCTCAGCAGCTGTACTCAGATTCGCCTGTACTGATTATTTTTCCACAGGCCAGGCACCTGCAATTATATTTCACCCTCTACCTTAGTTTTCCAGATATACTATAAATCGATTGAAACTCAACTGTGCAAAACTCCAAAGGCATCTCCCAGACTCTTAACTCCCAGACAAAAAGGTAGAACATCCCTCATGATTTCCCTTTACTACAAGTGATTCATGTTGTGCATACCAGTAACAACACAGAAAGGGGTCCTAGACAATGGGCTTGATTCTGTTCTCTGTTACAACAGTGGAGTAACTCCACTGAATTCAGTGGGGTTAACTTGGTATAAACCAAAAAAAAAAAGAAAGAAAATACACACGCACACACTTCTGTGCCTCTTCTAAAAATAATACAGTGTGTTTGAAAACAGAAGGCCAAAAATGGAAGTTTCTCCTCTAATCTTGTGCATTCCCCCATCTTCTGTTCATGTTTTGAACCAATCTGAAATTCACAAAGGCTGCCTGTGTATTCACAAGGCTGCCTGTTTGTTCTCTCATTTGAGCACTTGCACCATCAATTTCAGTACAGCTCTCAGAAGAAATTTAAAGCGCTGTAGAGGGAACAAAATACCCTACTGGATCTCACGCAATGGCACTGATGGATTAAAACACTGAGCAAGGAATACAGGATCACACCTTCTATCCATACAGCATTCACAGTTCCGGTTACTGTGCAAAATGCTGCTCAAGGGAGAGCTGATATCAGGAGCATTTCAGACAAGTGGTTTTTGACCTGCAGAACTCAGACTCTGATATTACTCTTCTATAGTCTTCAAGGCCACGTCTTCCTCCTGTAATCTTCCAGCTACATAGAGCTCATGCCTAATATCTAATATGTGGCTAAAAGAGGGAAGGAAGAGATCGCGGGCCAGAATTAAGGGCCTGACAAAGCCCATTGAGTTAATCAAAAGACTTCCACCAAGTCAAAGGGATCTAAGTGAGAAAAACCCTTCAACCTCACACTTTGACTGAACCAAACTAATTGATTCTCAACCTAGCACAAGGCCAAAGTGCCTGTTTGGGCCAAATATCCTTCTCGTTCAGGTAAAGAACAAATTCATGCACTGATGCCTGAAGCATCTTTAACTTCTCACAAAGGGAAGATACATAAATAAAAGTGAATCTCAATCAAAAGCAGCTTTATTCTTCTAGAGTTTCTCCAAAAAGCATTATAAGGCATTCATACAACTCTTACATTCTATTATAAGGTATTTATTCAACTCATACATGTTTAACTCCATCACTTGTACCATGCATATTTAATAGGGTGACTTGGCAGAAAGTCAATAGATCCTTCCTTGATGGACTCTGGACACCCATAAATTATGAGCGTCTCACAGGCCTTGAATTTTTTAACACACTAACTGTTTAATAAACACACTAGGTCATGTCTACAAGTGGCTTATTTGGAGTATGGAGTTTTAATGGGGACACAAAGCATATTTCATGGCTTTGGAGATTGCACTTCCTAGTTATTGCCAAAGCCAATCATTCACTCTCACCTTTTCATTCACCAGCAGGCTATAAGGTGTCCTAGAACATGTGCCCGACTAGTTACTCAGGTCTCAAGCAGGTAATCATGGGGGACTTTCTTCCCCTTCCAGCACTAACACACCATACTCAAAACAAAGGGGAAAAAATCCTATTGTATTAGAGAACTTTCACGTTCAAAACATATTCATTTAAGAGACTGCTCTGCTACTCTGAAATATAAGGCATGAGTGCTATAGTGTACTGCTATGAGAAACTGATGAAAGACATCACCTGAACACAACGGGGAGTTTTCAGATCATTCTAGCGGTCCGTCAGCAAATCAGTGTGGCCTACAAGTGAACCTTATTTGTATTCTCATCAGGCCCTTGATCTACCTATATCATTTACCAATACTACCCAAAGGACCCTGGCAATTAATCATAACTTTTTCCCAGGAAGATGAATGCTCCTATGGTGTAAATATTTACGATGAAGCAACCACTAGTTTACTACCATGGGCAAGTTCCATAAGCACTATTTGCTTAAAATGGAAAAAAGGTCAGTGGATTTACTGCAAACCTTTACAGAACAAGGAGTTATTTTCCACTGTGAAAAAGTAGCCCAGTCCATTATAAAGAAACAAATAGCACACAAAAAATTGAACTGCCAGCGTCTGCCTGCCTTGGTAACTCAGATTGGGAGACCCAGCAATAGGAAGCTTCTACAGACACTATGGGGAAGTATGGTCTAGTCGTTGGGGATTGAAAGTCAAGACTCCTAGAACATATTCCTGGTTTGCTCCTAACTCTCAATGTCATTTATCCACCCTTAGCTTCTATCAGCAGCAACACTTTTACTCTGTCAGCAAAGATGGTTTTGCGGTACATATTTCCTTTTTGTTAGTTTTATTTTGGGGGCTGAGATGAGGAGGGGAAAGAGCTGGGTTTAGGAACCATGTAATTTGGTAGAACGTGCTTTTTCTAATATAGACCTTTTCAATGCATTAAGAAAACAAGTACCTCTCAGAATTTAGCCTAGTGTATCTAATATTCTTTCGCTAAGGAAATATGTATTGCAATCAACACAACAACTGCTCCCCACTTAACAAGAATGAGGAGACATGGAAGCTTCTCCTTCAAAATCAACTCAAAAGACTGTTTCTAGCATTCTGTCAAAAAAGGATTGGCAAGACTGAGTGCCATTTCACCAACCACATGCAATAATTAGTGGAGGGAAGTGATCATGGTGTTTCCAATAGCTTTATTATATTGTTGTATCTTTTTGACCCGAGCGCCTAGCCATAGTTCAGGGCTCTGAGGATGTTCCAGTTGAAAGCAGACATTGATGGAGTCTGGTATTTTCTTTGGTTCAATCTTGTTTATTTACAAGGAAAGTACAGAGTCCTGCTTCTCTGAGCATAGAAGGAATCAAAAACCAAAAGAGCAATTTCTTAGCTTACAGCCCCAAACCTTTTTAAACAACAGACCCAAAAGCACTCTGTCTGTTCCCAGGGTCACACACTGTGCTCAGAGGCTACTGCTCGGCTTTCTTGCTTTTTCACCTCAGCGCCTCTGTCTGTTCTGCCAACCCTCACACCCACCCAAAAACAACACTCAGCAAAACCCCTCCACCCACCTAGTCCAAAACTCCTGGGCAGGGTCACCTAACCCTTTTGTCTTAGGTAGTGGCTTGTGATTGGTGGGTATGAATCCACCCTGTATTTAAGATAACTGTAAGGAAAAATCAATCTCAACAAGGTTTTTACTCAACCCATAACAATGCTTCACCAGCTCATAACAATATTCATTACTGATACCACAGTACTGTATCACAAAAGTTTTACTGTCACAGAGAACACCAAAGGTACGAGATATCAAACATCATGGTTTTGAGATACAAGAGTGAGAGTGATGAAAAGTATGGATTTCAGTACCAGTATGCGGTTGAGACTGGGAAATTAATGTTGAGGGAAAGGTATCTCAATAATGATACCACCTAGCTTTACAAAAGTGTTTTTTGTCCATACAAAGGAGGAAAGTATCATTATCCCCATTTCACAGACGGGAAAAACTGAAGCAGAGAGGTAAAGTGACTTGCCCAAGGTCATCCAGTAAGTCAGTGGCAGAGCCAAGAATAGATGCCAAGTCCCAATACAGTATCCTGTCCACTGGACCAGACTGCCTGGGTTTAGAGGACTTTTTGGATACATGTTACTGTTTACTCACTATGTG